GATGTATAATGTATATCGATTAAGAAATCGTAAAAAATACAATATACACGTTATATTTATATGAATCCAAAAGTGAAAAAATCTTGCTAAGAATTTCCTTTCTTTCATTTGTCGATACTTTAATTAATTTAACCGAAACGACTAAAAAACCTACAGGATATCTATAAAATCTCTTTCTTCGGGTACCATCATAATACGGTTCTCCGGAACGGTTAGTCTCTCGCAGTCGCTGCGAAGGCTACCTCATAGTAGTCTTCTAGGTACGAGGTTCCGAGCAATATGGCGATGAGTCTAGAGGGTGGGAGGGGGAGGGCTCGGCGGGGAGGTGGCACGAGAGACCTCCAGTGGGTCGATAACAAGCCTCAGTCCTCATCTCGCTGTGTACGAGCTACGCTGTTCTCCGCAGTTCTCTCTCTTTCTCCGAGAAACTGACAGATACGTAAATCAACGTCGGGCGCTTCTTCTCGCGCGAGTTCACTCTCGTTCTCGAGAAGGATAAACGGGATCGCACCCTCGTCGTCGCTGCCACTGTTGTCGTTGTCGTCGTCATCGGCCAAGTGCGTCATTCAGCGCGCGCGCGCGTACGCCATTACTTCCGCGAGCGTTCACCAGGCACGTAGAGGAGAGGACATTCCGTTCTGACGGTACCACACGCGCGATACACGCTCGGCGAACAGTGAAGGGAAGTGCGCGTCGCGCGAGGACTCCGAAAAAGTGCGCGTAAGGATGGCGGACTCGGACGTGTGCCCTGCCAAGAACGCCGACGAGGGCAACCAGGTCTGCAAGCGACCCGGCGCCGGCGCCAACCACTCTGCATCGGCCAACCCGTGCTTCTGGAATATTCTAAATCCCCGTAGGTTTTTTCCCCCTCGACGCTCTCTCCCTTGTTTCTCACGTCTTCTCGCATTCGATGTTCGTCCGAACACGATCGTTCTCCACCTCGATCGCCCTCATCTCCGCACGCACATCCGACACTTTGAAACGTTCCCGCATAGACAGTTTCTCCGATCGGGATCTGACAGATACGCGTAAATCAAATACGTTTTTTTCCACCCTAACCGAGTAGGCGTCTCTATCAGAGTTGTACCGTAGCAGACCGTAGGTAACTTTTGCAGCACGACGTTGTGTTTTCACGATACCAAAGACACCGGACGAAATTAGACTCCGGGCGATCTCAATTAATTTTTGTCGACGCTTCCATGTCGGTGACCCAGGCTTCCTTCTGCGCAGATGCCACCTGCTCGGTATCGAAGAATCGCCGATCGAAACTGGGTTATCGATCAGTCGGTTACCTGCAAATAACATTTACGTCAATATCTGTTCCATTCGAGTTTATATTAAACCTCGAAGAAGTCTATGAAACTCGCTTGGGCTTTTTTTATGGTAGACGAAGTGTCTATAGAAGAAATGTCAATACTTGGATATGCGAGGAAGGAACTGGGAACAATTCGATTCACTGCGACAAAGAAGCAGGAATTAATTTACTTTATTAATGGTTTTTTTATATGTTGATATGTTTGGTGTAACTAAATCATACTTTCAACAATGAAATAAATATATATTACACATTTATAAAATATTTATCAAATTTATTTCAATTATACATTAATATCATGTATTATTTGACGTTTAAATGAACAGACGTCTTAGAAGACTTTCAAAAGTTGGGTATTTTATTAATACTCAGTGCTTTTTATTAATACTTTTTTATTAATACTCAGCTTTTCAATTAGAATTTCAATATTTTATAAATCACTAATATGGCGATATAGATAGCGAATCGAAATTTACTTTTATAACACACGTTTATTTCATGAATAGATGAAATATGCTTTCTCAGCACATTGGACTAAGTGTCACGATTTGTTGCAACCTGGAACAATATATTATCGCGACCTTGAATTACATAATGCCACGCGAGCCATGACTGACGTACAACCGGCTCTCGAACTTTATCCCGTAGAAACATCGTCTTCAAAGAATGTGACACTGACAATTGGTTGCTAAGAGTACATCTCTCTCTCTCTCTTGCTCTATTGCATAACTGAATTATCATTATTTTTATTATCGAGATGAAACGACCTGTTTAGCAAGATAATAATTTCATTTATTTTTAATCTTGTATTTTAATCTTTTATCTTTTTGTAATCTTTTTATATTACCTCTTATATATATTTACGAGGAAAATATTAATTAATAATTACGGGAAAAAGTATTGATTGATATTCTTTTTTTAAGAAAATATTAATATCTTTATGTAAAAAATTTTGTCTTATTTTCATTATAATTGCGTGTACCATTGTCTATATTTGGTTTTCTATCATGTTTTAAAATAATGTTTGTATAAAATTAATTTTATTAATTTTATTTAATTAATTGTGTGTCTTTTAATATTTTGGAAAATGGATCGGATAAAATGTATTTTATGTGGAAAGTATGTCACGTACTTTGCTGAATCATCCGATACAACGCACCAATATTGTTAAATGCATAACTATTGTATCGTGCTATATCTGGAACAAGTATAAGCAGAAGGCAACTTTTACAAACGTCCATTGCCATGAATAATAAGTTTTTAAATTTGTATCATAAAAGCAAAGCTTACGGCCGGTAGCAAAGTTCGGTCGATTTATTGATTGTGAGCGATATATTTGACTTCAAAGTCAAAAACATAGAACGGAATATATCAAATTCCAAGGCGACAGAAGCTATATTGCGTAGTACAATATGATCGATTGCCTTGGTTGATTCTTCGTAATTTGCACTCTAATCTGTAATTTATTTAGATTATTTTATGAGGTACATAAAATCAAAACTCGTGATTATTTTATGAGGTACATAAAATCGAGGTATGATACAAATAGTATCGAAATTTTTGATCCATCAAGTATGCGCTGATATTTAGTGTCACGTTGTCCTACCTTTCTGCTCACTTACCGTACTAATACTTTGAGTATTGCGGATGAGGTATCCCCTCCCTCCCCCTAATCTGTTGATTAAAGTCTATAGAGCCGTAAAATTATGTCGACGAGGGTGACAAACTCTCTTTTATTAATATTATATTTCTTTGTGCACAGAATCTACGATGAAACATATTTCATAATTATTATTTTTAATATATGAAATAAAAGAGCACACATATATACATATTTGTCAAATTTTTAACTTTTACTGTAAAATATTTTAAAATTATAAATATTGAATTGGTAAATAAGAAAAAAAATTGGGTGTTTGAAAAGCACTTAAATACCTAAATTGCGTACTCAGTTGCATTAGATTATTTTAACAAGGAAAAAAGATATGCGCATGAATGATAAGAGACTTATGTATTTGTGCACTTGATGTCAAGTACGATACACATCGATATAATGTCTACGTGTTAAATGAAAGGATATTGACTTATTCTTTTGATTGCCTTCTATCTGGTGTACTTGTTTATGTCTGTGTCTTGCTTATTTATTCTTTTAAATGATGAAAATGGTTTTATGCGCAGAGATATGACTCGTTAGATGAGAATGGCTCGTGTGTCTAACATTTTAAGTTTTTTTTAAAATAATGTCACAAATTTTCCACAAATGGAGACGATGAAAAATAAATAATTTAACAGAATATTGAGAGATATTCTATGTATATGTAATTTAATGATGAAATGAAATTTAATTTTATACACAAAATGCATAATAAGCGCGATATTTGATAAATGAGTGGTTTATTCTTTTCGCTGCAACTCTGATAGCCTTTAGAACGACGCAATTAATTATCCGGTAACGATCCCTCGTACCTATCGATTTATTATATGGTTATTAATAGAAGCGTAACCTGAAAAATAAACTCAAAAAGAAATGATACATTTTATATATGGGATAGTTATATCTCTTACACAATTCTTCAATTTCTCGATTTTTATTCTTTATTTTATACGATGCACAATTTTATTTCTTACACATGTCTTTCACGATGAACGATTTCTCTTTGGAAATAGGGAAATTATTTTATCGATGAGCAATAATTTGCATGATTTATATGTACTTGCGGAGAGAAAAAAACGATTTTTTGCGTTCATTGATAGTGCACTTAATATATCTTTATCATTAATCCATCTCGCTCTCTCTCTCTCTCTTTCTCTCGCTCTATTTCTTTTTTATTTAAAATTATCTCAAGAACGCTGACAGAATTAATGTGTAATATTAACATCATATTAACACCTTTTTTAAACGCGTGCAAATAATTTTCGTGCCGATCTTTTGTTTTATCAAAATTGTAGTAATTTGAGTTAATTATTATTATCCTAAGATCACTTTATGTAGAAATAAGAATTCACAGATAATATTCATCAAATTAAATAAAAACTTAATATTAGATCGAAAAATTAATCAGAGTTAGAAGCGATTTTCGGTTTTAGAAAATAAAAAATGATATACAAGATTCATCTCATTAAAATCGAAAATGTCTATTAAGTTATTTTAAGAAGCTTAGGCTTTAGAAAATTTTTCGTAAATATTAAAGTAAAAATTTATAACATTATTATTTTTAAACATATTTTAATATATTTACAGTTAATAAAATATATTTTTTCTATAAATTTCAAACTTTTTTTATCATTCCATATAATATTAATTGAGATCTTTGGATGCAAATTCGTTTAGCAATAAAATTTTAAATTTGGATAATTTTATCATTATAGGGTAAAAAATAAAAAAAAGGATAATAATGAGGACAATCATATTGTTAATGTGAATATTTTTTTATAGATATCGATTAACAAATAAATTAAAATATATTTAAAAAAGAATATATATGTAAAGAATTTATAAATGTTACTTTTTAAAATTAATCTAAAATAAAATAAAGACTTTTGCTACTCCAAACTTTAATTCTGTTATTTAATAGGTTGTGCGCTTCTAAATATAGTTAATTCTTAGTTGTTGATCAGTTTAATGACTCACATTCTGTATGCTTAAGAATTTAATACTAATGCACTACAATTTTATTATTTCCAGATGCATGGTTTAACCCTGAAAGACTGAATCCGAAAGGTAAGAAAACAGAGAAAGTAAATATTGTTTTTTTTTTATATTTGTTTGTACAGTAGTAATATATATAATCAATCATTTTAATGAGAAACATTTTGCAATCATATGCGTGTTATAACTTATCAAATATATTTATTAAATATAAAAATTTTTCATGGTCTTATCATCTTTCTCAATTCAAAATGGCATAAGCAATATTATAATACATCATTCAGTCTTTTTTAAATTTTTTCGCGTATACAATTGACATAATTCCAATTTAATAAAATTAAAAAACACAAATTAATATAACTCAATTCTATAAAATTCGTGCGAAAAATTTATTATTAAAAATATTATAATAGATTCTGGAGATAGAATTAATACATCAATCGGAAAGGAAAATATGTCAAGTTAATTATAGCTAATTTTTGTGTTCATATTGCAATTGTGGTATAAGCGATTTTCTCTTATTATTAGTCGAGCTTGACGTTTATCGCGAAAGGTCATAAATAAAGGGTCAGATGTTTCCCAAAGGGATAAGTTGCAATAATTGGACCGGCACAAAACACGACAATTTCGCATCGACGGTTCTTCTGCCCATCCGTTGTCCGCCATTCTCAGACGTTACTAAATATAACGTCCAGCCAGCCTCTCACATTGGTCCAGTGCCAGTTTTCCGAAGATCCTCGTCTCAGGGTTTTCGAGCAGCAGTTCCCTTGATGCGAAGTCGTCGGAACCGAAACGTCGGTTCACGGTTCTTTCACCTATCGGGTTCCTGGAGTCATCGCACTCTTATCCAATCGATCGATCGGATTCGGTGGTCACATCTTTTCGTGTGATTAATTGCCGATAGAGTACGGATGTTCCAGATATTCGTAGGGAAAATGGCCATCACGAAGGAGGAACGTGAGTAACGATGATTCGCGAGAACGATGATATTTAGCACATGCGCTGGTACTCGATGAGATCGAGACTGCGTGCGAATGCAAGAAGAGAACCCGGGCTCGATAATAATAAATACGAAGGTGAAATGTAAGCAGCAAGGAATATAAAACACACAATATCATCGAGACGTAACAAAACTTAGACATAATATAAATTACAAGAAATAAGTGAAAAAAGATAGACGCGGTTAAAAACAGACGAGTGATATGCAAATAGTGTGTCGATAAGAGGCTTAATCTAGAATAGTGTGTCGATAAGAGAGATTAGATTATTTTATTTTTCATTCACTTTATATTCTTTTTTTATATATCCTTATTACCTATTTTATTTTCGGAATTGATGGAAAATAACATGAATAGTTTGAGAATTCCTATGCTCTGAAGACAATTTGTTAAAGTAAAATATTAATTTATGTTACGTATATTCTTTGTTTAATTCTGGCGATGCTTTGACAAGAATCCGGTCATCATTAATTGGCATAAAGAAACAATTATCTGGCATTGCAAGTCGAGCGATTAATAGTCTAGATCAGTGTTACGACCCTGAGAAGAATCCAATTATAGATAGCTCAGAAATCGCCGGTAAAATATTTCGTTGATATTTCACTGGTAACATCGTGATGCGACGAGCTTATTCTCTTCGGCTTTCCTCGCGTTCATGATCGTTCAAAGAAATTGCAAAAGCAAAAAAAAAGTTAAAAAGAGAGAGATAAATAAAAAGTGACAAATCTTGCCGGTGTGCGATTTGTGACAAGATTTGCGAATATTTGTCTCAAAGTTACGATATGTTTTTTTATGTGTCGTATTTTTATTCGATATTTTACGAGTATATTTTTGCAACGCGGTATCGAGCGATAGTGGTTTTACTTTATTACTCACACCTAAACTAATAGCTAAGAAGTCCAGAGACTATAATAGACATTGCGCATAACTATATTATATCTGTCTTCTTTGCATTTTCCTTTGCATTATTCATCATTTTTATGAGTTTTAAGTACATGCGATAATATAAGCGAGTAAATAAATTGGACGGTTTCCAACGAATAAGTATTATGTCATCAAGATATTACTCGGCACATACCTTAATTATACGTATTTTTAAATAATATTATGTTAAGTATATAGTAAGACATATACAAGAAAAGGTAATTTTCCCAAAATATCACATATATATGCACGCATTCGAATTTCTTTTATTTTAAAATTTTGAACAAAGTAAATTGAAAAATGAACCAGATTTGACAGAATTCAAATAATCCATTACACATTATGCGCGCATAAAAGTGTAATATATTACTGATATATAATGAAAAAGAATAAAAAGACGCTATATAAATAATATTTATTTTATAGAAAATAATTTTTGTTTCGAGCTAATATTTTTCGTTTCTTTATAGTCCTATATGATTGCAGTAAAATGAATAACTTTTTAAATTCATTTCAAATTAATGTAATTTCAATTGTATTTTTACATATTGTGCTTATAAATTTTTAACTAAACTGATATGTTAAAATTAGAATTATTTTTTAGAATTCTTTAGAAGCGATTGATTATAGATTTGACTTCATTTATGAAAACAGTCGATGACGTATCCGTTAAAATAGCAGCTTAGCCCTGTCTTTTTCTTTCCGTTGGATGACGCATAGTACAGATAAATCCAAGGGGAAACCACTCGCACGTACAAATCGATAAAGCGGTGCCATATATGACGTCGCGTCGGCTGTAATGCATAATTTTGCACCATAAGCGAGTACGACGGTCACGAGAATACAGAGCGAGTGCGTTTTATTTCTTATCATGGTCACACCTAGTTATACAGAGCTATGTTTTAGCTGTAAAAATCGTTAAACTATTGCTATCTGCTAATCGAGAAATGAAGATTGAAGATGATATAAAGCTTTGATAAGTTTAATTTCGATGTACATACGAAAAAGGACCTTATGTCAAACGTCGCGATTTCGTTTATTCACGAGAACATTATCTCTCGCATTTAATATAAAATTATATCGATATTAATCGTTGCTAAAATAATTAAAGTAAGTGCTCCGAGTCTCGATAGTTGTAAAGACGACCTTGTAAGATAGTTATTCAAGCTTTTCAAAGATCCGCAGTGCGGCAGCGTATCATTCTATTCTACTTCCGCGCGTTCGATGCACTGCTCTGATCCGATTATCACGTAATCAATTAAACCTAGGCTTCCTTGCTTCTTTGTAATTTTTTGTGTAACAAATAATTTAGTTTTTCTTTCCATGATACGAGAATATTTTATAAAGATTACTATAATTTTTACTTATTAAAACTATAATTTTTAGAAAATAATAGAAATAGAAGTTTATGGAATTTTTTTGTAAAATGTTTTTTAAATATGAAAAAAATATTTAAGATATATAAATATTATTATTAATATGAGATATATAGATAATTATATAGATGTATTACATCTTATACAGGAAAGAGATGCATGTTACTGCATATTATGAAATAAAGTTTGACAATAGATTAGTGATAAATAAAAATAAATAAAAAAATCAAAATATATGAATAATACACCATTTTACATATATAGTTAGATATCTTTTATTATCGAAAAATGAATAATTACGCGTATTTTCTTTTCAGACTTAATATGCTACATTTTAGATAAATTATAATTATAATTTTATGTTATTTAATATATAATTTTATATAATTTTATATTTTAAGTTATTCTTGATAATACAAAGGCTGACTAATTGTTTCGATATATAAACATGTTTAATTCTGTCTTTACAATTGCGGATAAACTTCGTATAAAACCTCTAGTTACGCTACTGTTCCACGTTCCAGCCTTCCCCTTCTCTCTATTTTTCTCCCGTTGCTTCTCGCCCCCTTTTTCTCTATCAATGAGCCCCTCTCTCGCATAACCAAATCCTCGCTGAATCGTTGCTGAAACAGTCGTGCATGTGACTACCGTCGTGAAATATTCTCGGGAGATCCCTTTAACAAGAAAGATCCTTGTGACAAGTTAAAAGGATGGGTACGAAGGTACGAAGGAACATTCAAAGAAAACATTTGAGGGAAGTTCTTCCAGAGCATGGTCCCGGTAAGTCCCATGTTTCTATGCATCCCCACGACTCAGTGAGAACTGGTTTGATATGGCGGTTGTCGATCTGAGAGAACATATGGTTGGGAATACAACACGTGGTCTTATTCCTTTACAACGTACTACGTACGATTATTCAAAAAACTTCGCTTCAGCTGGATAACATTATACTCTCATAAGAAATTGAGAATCTCAGCAATTATTATTATTCTAACTAAATTAAAAAATTAAATTAATAATTAAAAAAAATATTCAGCAAAAAATGTCGCGAAGTAATAGTTTTATTAAAAGTAGTAATTTTTTAATAAGAAAGATTATCGGTCCAGCAATATGAAGTTTATAAACTATAATAAACGGAATTATAAATTATATATATATATATATATATATATACATATATATATGTATGTATATATATATATATATATATGTGTGTGTATGTATATATATGTATACATATTATTATAAATAAATAAAATTTTTTTTTTAATTTAAAAAATTTTTAAATACCATGTGATTTTAAAAAACTATATAAATTTTATAATCAGTAGCTTTCAATTCTTTTAAAATAAATAAATCGGTTACTTTATATATGAAAAATATATACTCGTTTTAATACAAACTTAATACTGATTAATTTCTAATCATAATATTTTTCGTTGATGCTTCATATAATACATAATTTATATATAATACAGTATGACAATGATATTAGTAATTGTTAATTTAATTTATAGTTAATGCGTTTTTATCTTTATATTAAAATGGTAATATGTAAAAAATTATATGTCATAAATAATATATATGTCATAAATTATATGTTATAAAATGTATTTGTTTTATATGGAGTGAGACTTACTTAATATTTTTATATCGACTAATTCTTATTAAAGTAAATTGTAAAAAATATAAATCTTTCTTATCAAGTGTTATCTGGGTGCACAGTTTTAAATCGTATAGCAAACATTGCATAATACAGCATATTTTTTAAGATATTTGCATATTGATTATTTTTTTGCGTAACATATTTTTTTAATAACATATGCCACAATCAAAATTTTACATTCTCGTAATAATTTTAGGAGAAAAATACAAGTTATTTGATAACATTACAATATATTAAATGTAACGTTATTACGAAGTTTATTGACATAAAACTCATAAATATGAATTCTAGGGCCAATAATACGAGCTAATTACTAAGGTCTAAATAAAATAAAACCAATATTAATAAGTTTATTTAATTCAAAAATCACAAACGTTTCGACTTTACTTAGTCTTCCTCAGTATGAAAAATAACAAAATCAACATATTAAAATGATCTGTATTCCTTTAACAATATTATTCATATGTCGCAGAAAAGTAAGTATAAATTTAGTCAAAATGTAAAAAAAGAAAAATCCATCGTTAGAACGCTATAGGATAAAATAAACAACAAAAAGCTCACATACATTCATACAAAACCAAATGCTTCGACAGCCAAAAAATGATTAACCCGGATCGACATTTAGTATCCTATTCAAACCAACTTCATCATTGGAAGGCGAGAAGCTCTTAATTAATCCGGCTACGACAAGTTGTGTTCTTGCATGATGATTATCATACGCGTTTCAATAAGGCTCAATACAGTCTTAAAGGCTTCTTATTATTTTGGAGTTAAGAACATGACTCATCTTGTCGTTTCAAAGCCGGTTTCAAATTAAATTTTTCATTATACTTCTACTGAAAGTTTATTTAAAATCAATTAAAAGATTAAAAAACACAATTAAAAGATTAAAACACAACATTAACAATATAAATGTATTATATAATACGGGGCTGATTTGAGTGAAAAAAAAACAATCTAAATGTGTACGAAAAAAATAGATTAGAATAGATATAAAAAATTAAATCTTATTGGTAATTTAAATTATGAATTCGTCATTAAAATTTAATCTCATTACATAGTGCATTATTAATTTGTCAGCAATATTAAAGTTGAAAATGATTAGCACTCATACATTATTATAGAATGATTAGATATATTTGCGAATTAGCGAAGTAGGAATTTAAGATTTTGTTCTTTTCTCTTAACTAAAGTATTTGTTTCTGTTTACAGTGGCAGCTCTGATATATTGGCGCGATCCTAAAAAATCAGGGATTGTATTCGGCACGATACTAGGTGTGCTCCTATCGTTGGCCTATTTCAGTCTGATCAGTGTGCTCGCTTATCTGTCGCTTCTCGTCCTTACTGGAACCATTCTTTTCCGTATTTACAAAACCGTTCTTCAGGCAGTCCAGAAGACTTCGGATGGCCATCCATTTAAGTAAGCATAAACAATTTTGCGAATTGCTTTATTAATCTATTTTTCTATTGCAGACTCGAGTGGAAAAAATATCGACGCGTGAGTGATCGGTGGGCTCAAATCAAATCCCAGCTCATCTGGATTATTATTATTCTTGCTATCATATTATTAGGATTGAATTTGACGTTTCTCTATCATGTTTGATATTATAATATCCCTAACGACAAAAGATATATATATATATATATATATATATATATATATATTTATAAAAAATATATATATATATATTTTTTTTGTTGAAAGAGAACTTGATAAATCTTTGATAATGATATAATGCAAGTAATTTTTTAAAAACAATTAGCATAATTGATTAATATAATGAAATATTGCCATATATTGATCTTAATTTAGAAAAATTTTGGATATTATAAGAGAAATACGAGTTACTTGTTTAGTAATTTATAGTTAATAAAGTAAATATAGATAAAATAATGTTTTAGTTTTTTTATGATAATCGAAATTTTGCTTTTAATAAAACTATCATTTGGATTATAGGGATATCCTTGATCTAGACTTGACATTACCAGCTGAAAAAGTGCATGAAGTCGCAGATGTCGCAGTCGCACATGCTAATGCTGCCTTTAGCGAATTGCGCAGACTGTTCCTTGTTGAAGACTTTGTCGATTCTCTCAAGTTTGGCGTTTTGCTATGGTGTCTCACCTACGTTGGTTCTTGGTTCAACGGCATGACTCTCATCATTATCGGTATTTTTGGGTTACATTTTTTTACGTATTCCCTCGAACGTGGAATGGAATGATCGATTCAACGAATTCATTTACTTCATTTCAGGCGTGGTCGCTCTGTTCACGCTGCCTAAGGTTTACGAAACGAATCAAGAACAAATCGATCAAAATCTGGCTTTGGTTCAGGCGAAGATCAACGAAATCACCGCTAAGTAAGTTAAAGTTCCTTTGATTTTGAGAGAAATTTTATGAGAAATAAAATAGTAATGCAATGAGTTTTTTTCTTATTTCTTACTTATACATAGAAATTGCAAGCATATGTCACGTTGATAAGTTTTTAATAAGTTTTATAAGACATAAGTTTTTAATTGTCTGAATTTATAATTATCAAAATATATATATATATATATATATATATATATATATATATATGTGATATTATATATGATTTTCTAATTCTATGTTAAAGAGGAATTTGTACGTTTTATAATCTATATTTTTATAACATAGAGATTATATCCAGATTGTATGTCAGACCGGTATTTCGTTGATTTCAGATTGTGCGATAATAAAATTAATAACGAAAAAATTAATAATGAAATTAATTTCTACATGTTATTCAATGAGAATGTAACAATTATAAGGATTTTTTTCGAATATTGCATAGCAAATTGAATTCGTTAAATATTGGTACATAAACGCAAAAGTGTTAAAGAATGTGTTATGCAAAATATTATTTTTATCCAACAAAACCATTGAATTACGAAAAAGAAGAAAATAAATGAATTTTTTACATATTTTTATAGTAATGTTTTTACTGAAAAATTTATTATTCTGTTTTAGAGTAAAGGCGGCTATCCCTCTCGGTAAGAAAGCCGAGCCAACGAAGGAAGAATAAGGAAGAGTTGTACGTGAAGATCGTCCAGCAGATAGCTGGGACACAGATAGAAAGGATTAAATTAGAAACGAACGAGAGAAACGTTAAAAAAGAGTGAGAGAAGTTTGAGAGCGCGTGCGAGCAGGACAATTTATAATCGAGAAAAGTCTCACACAACATGTAATGGGCCCAGTAGTCGCGCTGGTGAGGGGATAATTAATAATTAATATGTGCGACAATTATCGTCGCGAGCTTCGCCGTCGTATAATTTCGGAGGAAATAAATATAATTATACTTTTCCAAGGCACAACACGATCGGCAAAGCCAAGTGGTCGCGCGCGCGCACTGACATTCTGATCACGAAAATAATCCTCATCGAGGAATTAAACACCGCGACAGAAAGAGTGAATGTGTGTATGTGTATGCATGTCTGTGTGTGAGAATGAGACAGAGAAAGAGTGTGTGTATGGGTGTGTGTGTGTGTGTGAGAGAGAGAGAGAGAGACATAAGCAACACTTAGTGATTAATTAATCGTTCATTCTTGCGATAAAAAATAATGGCATATTTTTAGCTAGTTGTAACAGTGCAATGTACGTAGGGCTGTTTTGGATCAGCTCTTTTCCTCTCCCTTCCCTCCCTTTTTCGTCGTATTCTTCGTCAAATATGTTTTAACAAATTATCATAAACTTCGTGTTTTTATCTATTTAATGATATCCTTTGTTTCTCTTGGCAAAAATGAGAAGAATATAAGACCGAGCGAAAGGGCGAATGCGTTTATGAATGCGAAGAGAGACTGAGAGTAGTAAGGCTCCATGTGATTTATCATCCCGTCTTTGGAGCATCGTATTTGATTAGCTTGGATCATTGTTCACGAACCGGATGTCACTGAAGTAATCATTCGAACCGTGACCCGACGAAATATATAGTGAGAAACCAAGGGTGTCGGAAAATCGTGATAATTTAAAGAGATACTTCAACGGACAGAGGAGGAGCGGATGGTGGATTGAATGGGATATGTTCGATGTATAAACGAGAAATCGTTTATCCGTTGACGATACATCTTAAACTAATTGTCCGATTTGCAGCGATCTCCCCATCTTCTCGATGTTTTAAGTTGTTGTTGCGTTTGTGAGAGAATCGAACAGGGGTTAAATGACGAGTTAAATTATGCAAAAAACGTATATATTGTATCTGTCTCTCAATGACGTTGACGTTTGCATAATATTATTGCTACTGCATCATTAATTGTAATTACACCGTTATGTACACACGTGCGTGCATATGTATAACGCATCGTGCGCTTCTACTCGCGTGCGTATACGTACGTATGTGTACAAACACGCGTGTATATATATGTGAAAGGGAAGGACAGTCATCATCAAATAAAATGATCCTAAATGAATAACGGAACACATTGTACGGTGAACGATGAAGATGCAACTTTATATTATATCATAATATCTATCTATAGTTATCGAGAAAACATGTGTTTTTATCGGGACCGATGGCAAAATGTTAAGAATGTGAATTGTAATACGCGTATTGCTTCTTGTCGTTTTCATTATTGCATCTGCATCTGCACGATTAATTTATAAATAAATGATATTAAATAAGATAAAAAAAACTACGCTATTTTTTTCTCGTTTCACAGTTATTTCACATTTCACGCATCTCCTTGAGATATTTCTCTTCCAGCGAATCTTTTTGATAATCTATTTTTAGAATATCTTATATGTGCTTGATGATATTATTTTATGCAGTGTGATAAGTTTTCTACAAATATACAAAGGAAAGAGAAGAGAAATTTTATAATTGTTTGAAAAGAATTGATCATTGAGATCTCTTTCAACTTATGTTTAGAAATTACTCTTCTCTTGAAATTTTTTATAAGCTAAAAGTTGATTGTTGTATTAGTAAAAATTTGTTATGATTGATCAACATTACCTGTGCAACTTGAATTCTATAAAACATTAGATAATTTAGAAAATATAATTTATTTATAAGTATAAGAGTAAATTGCAAGATTTAACTGATGTTAGTAGAGCTGTAATAAAAACTTGAAGATTTAAACAGCTACTAGAACATAAAATGTAAGAAATATGCAATGTATAAAGAAGAAACATTAGAAATCGAACTAAATTCATTATATTTTATGAATCTTGATCAATACATATTATTTTATCAAAATCAAGTCATACTTATTACTAAAATGTTACGGGTGCATTTTATTAATTAATATAAAATCATATATATGATTAAAAAATGATGTCGATATTATTTAGAATATTGGAATCTTTGGAATTTTTAAAGGAAGCGTGCACTTCAACTAGCTACTTCTCTGAGCGCTACAACTGCTTCGGAATGTTTACAGCGGCCCACTTAATGTTTCGGAGCAACGCACGACATCGTCATATCATCGTAGACTTTTGGCTTCAGTCTCAATTCTTTAAGCTGGATGGAACAGCTGATTCGAGATTTTAAAAACGCCGTATGTCATCTACCTGTCTAATATTCAAGTCGGAATCTGCTAAAGTAAAGTCGTTTTTAACTTTTGTCAGCGCAAATACATATGTGCACGCATCGTACGCATGCGTCACCTTGAGACAAGGTGACCACTGCCTTCTCAACTGGCAGCGCGTATCATTCGCCTTCAGGGGGCCGTAGACGCGTCGTCAGTCGAGTGCGCGTTATCACCGCAACTTGTTGTCTCGGGGATAAAGTCAAGCTGCTGCTCGTTAAATAAGTCATCATGTCATTGCCCAACAGCGATCACGAGAAGAGGAAGCAGATTTCGGTACGCGGTATCGTCGACGTCGAGAACGTCGGCAATTTTAAGAAGACCTTCAACAGGCACCTTCACTATACCCTGGTGAAGGACCGTAACGTCGCCACGACCCGCGATTACTTCTTCGCTCTAGCCCATAGTGTCAAGGACAATCTCGTTTCGCGATGGATTCGTACGCAGCAACACTATTACGAGAAGGATCCCAAGGTAATTGTTCATGTCTCATTAAATGGAAACCGGTACGAGATTCCGATGAATTCGAATTTCACCGACTAGTCACATCACAGAATTCTATATTTATCATTCCCATGTTCCCATACACGATGACTATCACACACGTACAAAAAATTTGATCTTTCATATTTATGAATATACTGAAAATTCAGCCTAAAAATTTGTATTGTTTCCTATTTTTGCTCAATAATAAACAATATCTGGAAATGTCTAAAAGAGAATTATACATGTTCGATAGTTTTTATTTATTATAATATCAATTAACAAACTTAAAAAAGAAAATATACTATCTAATTCAGTATTTTTTCGAAGTAAAATTTATTTAAAATTAAAAATTCTGTAGGCTCAAGAAAAAAATAAATTTGCTTTAATAAACTTATTATCCGACATCATTATCTAATGTATTTCACACATCTCGAAAACATTTCGCAATATATGCAAACAGGAAATTGTTAAATCGATTATAGTTCATTAAGACAACGAATATAGCTAAAAATTACATAGGCTAATGTGATTATGTGATTTATCAATAATAGCATTACGTGATCTTCGTCCTTGCTTCTGGGTATCTCGAAAATTTTTATAAGAATTTTGATAAAGACAATTTTAATGTTTTATACATTAATGAGAGAGATTCTTTATTATATGAGATAATAAAACTGCTTTTATCTGAATTCTTATAAAAATTTTTGAGATATGTATATGTAATATATAAGTAATTATATCGAAAAGATTATGCGTAAGATTATTACGTATATATGATCCTCTTTGAAGAAAGGGAAGTTTATACAATGCTTGAATGATTAACTACTCATCCATATATACGCATAATATATATATATATATATATATATATATATATATATATATATACACACACACACATATATACACATACATACACACGCGCGTGTGTGTGTATACATGACTTAATTTTTTATTTATTATTTATAATTATTTAATGTATATCTATTATGCATATGTACATATGGATTGAATTGCAGAGATTTTTTATAAATTTGATGTCTTTATAAAAAAGGAATACTAAATTTTTTATAAAACACCAATCCTTATAAAAATTTGACATTTTATAAAAAGATTAATTTTAGAAAAGGTCTATAATATATATATTATACATGTGTGTTACGCGTACGCATGTATATATATACATACACATATTGAAATATATGAATGTGCGGTACGCAATCTAAGACACAATGTAAAAGCGTTTATGATAGGAATTTATTTTCGTCTAATTAAAAATGAAACAAGTTCATATATATATAAATATATAGACATATATATATATATATATATATATATAGACATATATATATATATATATATATATATATATATGTGTGTGTACATTTAATTTTAAATTAATACAATATCTGTCAGGATTATATTTTAAATCGTAATATAAAAGTTATAATGTATATAAAAATTATAAATATATTTAATATAAGTATGATATCAAATACATAAATAAAAAAATAATGTATGTCGATATCATCTAGAATTAGAATCTATTACAAGTACAGCGAAACATTGACTTGAAATATAATATATTCGATATATTATATTTTTCTTTATCATTTTTATTAAGTATGGAAACAAGATGTGATTCATTCTACGTATTCGAAGTTTCTATTTAAATTATCTTTTGAAGCACTCATTAAAGGTTTAAATATGCAGATATTATTTTGATACTATCTAAAATATATTTACGAATTTCTGTTTCTACATCTAATAAATATTTTTTATACTTCTTTTCAAGAAAGGTTCTATAATTCGCAATTTTAATAATTTCTTAACAAATTTAATTAATTTAAAATATTTTCTAATAAATTAGAAAATTTGATTTTTCTTTAAAAAATTCTCAACATATCTATATAATTATGAGATAATCAATAAAGAAAGGCTATTCATGAAATAAGACAAACAAGTAAATAATTAAAATATACTTTTTTAATTAATTTTCCTCAACATTTCTGCGATGAAACAATCAACTTTTAATTTCTCGAAAAATTCTATTCGTTAAAATATAGTCACACAAGTTGCGTGGGATATTTTTTTATATGTAATATTTTTATAATATTATTTTTGTTTATTTAAAAAATCTGTCTAATTGAATTTCTCATTTGTATTTGCTTCGTATGAGATCTAGAAACGCAGTTTTGCAAGTAAAACATTATACATTCTATTTGCGAGTAAAACATTATACATTCTATTTTGAAAGACATTTTCTCCAAATATAGGAGCGCAATATAGTTACATCATTTTAACTTGATGTTTATGCGCAAAAAGTTGTTGATTCTAAAGTAGAGGAGTTTGATTCAATAGTAAAAAATTAAACCAGTAGCAAAATTACAAGTCATTATGATAATTTATAGCGAATGTTTTTGTGCTAATCATTATACTTTAAAGTAGTAAAATTAGATTTTTGCAATTAAGTTCGTCAATAAGTCACAGAAATAAATCATTAAATTTATTTTCTATAAATTTATTTTCCTGATGAAATAATTTTATATAATATAATTATTATTTAAAAGCAAGAGAGGGAAATTTAAAAAAATGTTTTAAGATTCATTTAAATAAACTTACATTTACAATAAAATAATTACACGAGAATATTCTGTATGAGACTTAAAATAAGTACAGATAATCTCTCATAATCTTGTATAATCGAATAAACGAATATTTGTTTATTTTCTATAACTTCTTTCAAATTTAGATACTATTATAAATGTGAGAATCTGTGCCAATTTAATATATATCTTTAATTCTTCTCATTGGAACTACCATTTGAATTTATTCCCAAAAGTGTGAACTTTCTGGCAGGATTTGCTTTTTTTAAATTGTTAGAAATTTTATCGATAAGTACAAAAGTCATTGAATAAGTGATTCATAGATTTTCTAATCAATTTGTAATTGATTTTTCTTAAAGAAAAATGTTGAAATATCTTAATAAAAAATATAAGAATTTTAAATTGGCCGCTCTAAAATTATAAAATATATAAAATTATAATATATATAAAGGATTTTTTTGATATATTTTTTTAATTTTAAATCAAACATATTTTTTCAATTTATATTGCAATAATCATGAATAAGACAAATTCGTCAGTCTATAATATATAATCTAAAATCTAATTACATAAAATTACAAACTGAAAAGAAAAAAATAATATCAATTTTTAAATGTAATTTACGTGAAAATGAAATATTACGTAAGAAATTTATATTTTACTTATACTAATAATAGATTATTTTCTGTATAAAAATCTATTCAGCTTCTTTCAGAAAATCATTCGGTTTTCACACAAAATTATATTCACTATATCTACGAATTATAATAAATATCAGATTCATTTTCTCTC